GATAACGTTGTTCATTAATTTTTTAACGACCAATCGCGTGCCGTTGCACAGCTGTGGTGGGTTCAAATTACGAAGCAAAATAACAGGAGATCCAACTTTAAGTACTAAATTATGCGGTGGCATGCCTGGTAAATCCAATGAATTTAAAAACTCTGTTGGAAAATATGCAGCTTCCATAGGATCGCAAACTGCATCAACGGATTTGTATGTCACCATGTTACCTGGCAATAACTGTTGTATTTTCAGATTCAATTCGTTGACGTCCACATTTTTTGCTGCTAAAATCGCCCTTTCTGCAAGCCACTCATGATTAATGTATTGCGTGTGTAAATCGGGAAATATAAGGTTAATGAGAGCATCTTTTGAATCAATGATTGTGCAGAAATCCTCCGGTAATTTTATGCATCCTGTCTCATCCTTGGTAACTTTTCCATCACCGATATCTAGCAATTGTTTTGAGAATGTTTCAGCAGATGGATCCTGAAGCATTTGGACTCGCATATTTACTGTTAGTTGAACTTTTTCAACATTATACCACAGTGGAGATGATTTCAAGCAAGCATTGATCTCATCAGCGTACGTTGAACGCGGAATGACAGGAAGTGTTTGTCTGAAATCACCTGAACTGCCGCCAAATAATTTGTCATTGTTTATTATATCTTTCAATGTCCTGTTCAACGCCTCAAGCGAATGTTTGTGTGCCATAGTGCATTCATCCCAGATGATAATTTTACAGTGTTTCAACACTGTGGCCATAGAGCCATAGTAGCTTCATTGGAGGTGATGTACCGGCCACTTTGGTACAGCGTTACTTCATCGTTGTTATTCACTGGAAGAGCAGTCACATTGGTATTTTCAACTCGAAATACTGCCGTATTACTGCCTTTATTCACATACTTGCAAATATAATTGATGTTCTTCTTTTAAGGGCGAGCATAAGTATTAAAGTTTAATATGACTTGTTGCAACGTGTGTGAACATTGTTTTTGATTTACCATGTTTTTATGTCTAGTTTGGAATGGAATATGATTAAATAAAGATATATTTAAAATATACGTTAAATCTGTCCAAAAAATGAAAAAAATTAGTTATAAACCTATTCTCAGACCTACTAAATATACATATAAAGTTTCATCAAAATCGGTCGAGCCGTTTAGGAGGAGTTTAATCCCTAAAGCTGTGGCAAGAGATTTTTATATATATAGATATCGTTAACGAGCACATTTGCTTCACTTTAAATTCTTCTCAATGTCTTACGCATTTTATTTTCCTCACGTTATTTTTTTTTTCGATTACGTGGATTGCTTTTCAAAACTAGGTAGTTGTGTATTTTGATAAGATTAAACAACTTGCGAAATGTGCTTACATAAATTTATAATAATTATAAATTTTTTTAACAGAATGATCTTTGCTTTAAAAAAGAATATATGCTTAAAAACAATGATCAACTCATGCATCAAATAATACGACTGTAATTTTTCTATCATAAAAAACCTGTCCTCTCCTGTTGTCCCATAACTTATTTTTTTCAACTTCCATACTTAATTTAATCAATTTTTGTGAAAATTATCTCGTCTTAGATTATTAACGCTTAACTTTTAAAAGAAATAGTTTTGTGTTACGGTAAGATATCAAGTCAGAAAGAATTTTTCATGCCTTCTAGCAGCGGAGAATAGTTATTATATATATTATAAGAATATGTAGAATAATTATTAGAAGAATATGTAAATATTCAATCGTTTTTATTTTTGGAGCGTTACACATCTCGTTTATTTAAAAAAATAATAATAATTTAAAAAAAACCTCCTTGCAAGCTCTAAAAGTATAAATTTAAATATATTATATCTATATATACTTTTTAGAAATAAATATCGTTGAAAATGAAATGGTCGTAAATCCAAACTATTATGGAGTATGAGATCTTATGTCCATGCAAGACATTAATAGTGATATCTGGCGCTAAGTGCTAATACGCCATAAACAATTTCTGATTTAGATTGAAAGTTTTCTCGGTTATGTCAGTGAAAAACAAAATAAAAGAATATCAGTTAACCTTTTATTCTGCTAGAAAATATAACTAGATTCAAATAAGATACTTCAAATTTAGAGCCATTTTTTCAGAAGCACGAAAGCTCTAAGTGTTCTAATGATTCCAAATATCTTCCCTTCAATTCATTGGGTTCCACGCATTCTCCGGAAAATATTTCCCCCGGAAAAGGATGAAGGAGTATCCACTTTATTCTACAATCGCACCTCAATGGATTGTCTGTGGAATTGAAAGTAAAGAAACAATACACTTCAAGGAAATATCGATCTCACATAAAAGAACAGAATACAACAATAAAAAGCAGCATTGAAAAAAAATTTTGTATATATACAAAGTTTTTATTTCTTAATTCTAAACATTAATACATTCAAATCGTGATTTTAATCACTCCGTAACTGTTACTTGGAGTTTAAATACTTTTAATTTAGATTGAGTTTAAGTACTAAAATTTTTAATTTTAATTTTTTATTCATATGTTCTTGTTGCTTATTTTTCAAATTGTTTTTTGCATTATTATTATTATTATATTAAGAGAAATTCATACCGGATTATTTTTCAAAACAGAATCAAAGTATTTTAAATATTTATATTAAAGAGGATTTAATAAACATCAGATCAGCGTACATAGTTTATTTTATTGAATAAATAATTGAAAGATTCAATCATCAAAATTTAAAGGGGAAACTAGTCAAAGAGAAACAAGTAATGAATTAACAACGGAAATTCATACAAAATTATTTTCAAGAATTCTTTCATGGAACAGCAAATTATGACTGCAAATTCTAGTCAGGCAACGCAATGCGACCTCATGTATTCTTATTGAAGAAGCATACTTCACCTATTTGTAATTTGAGGAATAGTGGTAGCTAAAATAGCTAAACGCTTATAAGCAAATAGTTAAATATTTCTAGTGGTTGAAACATTTTTAAATTAAATGTTGCCGGACTAGCAACAATTAACCTGAAAAGATGAAAACAAAATGACAAGGCTTGATATTTTCAGTCTTACTAGAAATTAATAATTGCCACTTTAGTGTTCACATAGTTTCTTATACTTTCATTGAAAAAAAAATTTTTGGTACAATGCCAAAGATAAATCATTCAGCACTTTATATAAAATGAAAGTAAATATTTAAACAACAATATTTGAAAAAAACAAAAGAACAAATATAGTACCTTCTATCTTAAACAAGTTTGTCTAGAGGGGGCAAACAGTGTCTAGTTAAGAGTTGGGGAGCCATTTTTATCCCAATTAAGATATTCAAATAATAATATTAAAACGAGACAAATACAGTACCTTCTATATTAAACCAAATTAAGCTCTTCCAGATGGGTGCAAACAGCGTCTGGTCAAGAGTTTGAAAACCATTTCTATCCAAATTAAGATATTTCAGATTTGGCATACTTGTGAAAAGATCAGATGGGAGAGATGAAATCTTGTTGCTACTGAAAATATAGAAACATTATTTAGTTTTAAAAGTTGTTCTCAATGTTACTGTGGTTAAATTTTGTCATACAACTTTTCATTGTTAACCGTATTAAATTTCTCACCGTCAGTAAGAAACTGAGAAGATTAAAACTAGATACAACCAGGAAGGATAACCTCTGGAATCATCTTTCTTAAACTTTCTTTTTGTCCAATGTGTCAAAGTGCCCTCTCGCAACATTAAAGGGTCCAGGATCTGGTTTAAAATATTCAAAAAAATCCTTTTTATGGCATATTTTGATACCTTATACTATGGAGCACTCTTTTGTCTGGAAACTTTTTGATATAGTTGAAAAACGCGATCATTAGACCGGCCCTTCCATGTCATCGAGGATACAGGAGGCTATTATACAAGACCTATCAAATGGCAGATTACATTAAAAACAATAACGGATCTCTAAATTTTCTTATTTTGGCGTTTTCTCCAAAACACTTCTGTTCCGGTTAAGATATGATAGAAATTGCCAATTATTCAGCTACGGTTATCTTCAACGATGATTTCATTGTGATTGACGCCATGTAAGATGTCATGAGTATTCGAATTGGGAACAGTTTGAGTTTTGCAAAAGGGTCAACGCGGATCGTCTTGTACGTTAGGAGCGTCGCGTCTCTTCCTCCAGCAAAGAAGTCTGATCTTCGGCCCTGAAGGAAGTTGAGAATGCCAACAAAATGTATGAGTTCAGTGAGGGCGTGCTTTATGATACAGGTATCTCAGATTGAAGGTAACTCCCAAAAAACCCGAATATAAATGATTTAAAACCTTTGAAAAATAAAATAAAATTAAAAAAATTGTGATCGCCGAGAGGTTATCAGAGGTAATTTTTTTCCCCGCCTACGTTCTTTGGCTTTAGCCTTTTCAGCCTTGGCATTGTTTTTTTTTCTTGCTTCAACTTTAACCTTTGGGACCATGTCAATTAGTTTGGGGCCGTGTCAATTAGTTTGGGACCGTGTCAATCAGTTTTGGACCCTCTTCATTTGTTATATTCACCTGAATTTGTATTGAAACCGTAGGTTAGAATTTCTGATTCCCAATTAAAGCAATAAAAACAAAAATATCGTTTAAAATGATAAAAATCTCTTTTATTCACAACTCAAGAAGTATTTATGGGATCTCTCTAGTCCCATATCTCAAAAATAAACTCACCAACTTAATGCATAACAAAATAAAAAGTGAAAAAAAGAATTCGAAAAAATTATCAAACAGCAGCGATCGCCATAGCAACGCATGCAATGACGACGCATGTGCACTGTTTACTATTACTCTTGCTCACAGTTGAAAAGTGTTATGACGTCCAAATAAGGTGCGTACACCATCAAACCTAAAACAACACCCATTTTGCCGATGGGTAAAAAAATCATCCCGCAAAATCACGATTTCATTTTTGGCATTTGGATTGCAGAAAAACAACTCGATCAATTTCGGCCTCTTTGAAATTTAGAAAAGAATTTATGTAGCTATAGTTTCAATCAACAAAATGGCTATAGTTGCATTTTCCGAAATTTCGGCGGGGACTGACATCTTCGTCATCATTTTTAAATTTTATTTATAATTATTCCGGGTTAGAAAAATTTTTAAAATATATCTAAAAAGTGATGAAATAAAGCAATCAATTCATTATATAACTTATCCTTTCATTTCATTGAAAAAAGAATTGCTCAAGATAAGGCTTAAATCGAATCTCTAGACCAGAAAACCACATTAAAAATTGTTATAAAAGTCCGTGCATTTTTGTTTTCGCATACTTATTACTTATTGAAGTAAAGATAGCTNTTCATTTGTTATATTCACCTGAATTTGTATTGAAACCGTAGGTTAGAATTTCTGATTCCCAATTAAAGCAATAAAAACAAAAATATCGTTTAAAATGATAAAAATCTCTTTTATTCACAACTCAAGAAGTATTTATGGGATCTCTCTAGTCCCATATCTCAAAAATAAACTCACCAACTTAATGCATAACAAAATAAAAAGTGAAAAAAAGAATTCGAAAAAATTATCAAACAGCAGCGATCGCCATAGCAACGCATGCAATGACGACGCATGTGCACTGTTTACTATTACTCTTGCTCACAGTTGAAAAGTGTTATGACGTCCAAATAAGGTGCGTACACCATCAAACCTAAAACAACACCCATTTTGCCGATGGGTAAAAAAATCATCCCGCAAAATCACGATTTCATTTTTGGCATTTGGATTGCAGAAAAACAACTCGATCAATTTCGGCCTCTTTGAAATTTAGAAAAGAATTTATGTAGCTATAGTTTCAATCAACAAAATGGCTATAGTTGCATTTTCCGAAATTTCGGCGGGGACTGACATCTTCGTCATCATTTTTAAATTTTATTTATAATTATTCCGGGCTAGGAAAAATTTTAAAATATATCTAAAAAGTGATGAAATAAAACAATTAATTCATTATCTAACTTATCCTTTCATTTCATTGGAAAAAAATTGCTCAAGATAAGGCTTAAATCGAATCTCTAGACCAGAAAACCACATTAAAAAGTGTTACAAAAGTCCGTGCATTTTTGTTTTCGCATACTTATTACTTATTGAAGTAAAGATAGCTGAAAAATTGCCGAAACACGACTATTTAAAAATAAATATTCTCATATACGAGGAATTTTTAAACACACACTTAATGGTAAGTGATTAAGAGTTGTAGAATGTACCATAGCATGTTTTGTCGGAAGGTAAGATAGGAGAAAAATTGGGGGCGGGGGAGAGTGCCAGGGTTTCTAATGCGGTTTTCCAAACAAAACGGAATGTGCCTAAACCCGAAACGATTGGACAAATAGTTAAAAAGGCCTTTCATAGCTCCTTCTCCAAGGAAAATAAAAGAAGCCACAATTTACGTGCTTTATACTTGATGCAAACCTATAATCTTTAAACTATGTATGCCATCTTGCTGAAAAGAATTATCTGGGCTTTAGAACGGGCAACTAACTAAAATACTCTAAAAGTAGCTAAACTTTTTTTTTCATTTGGTGACATTTTCCCACCTAGAATTAAATTATCAAAATCAATACTTCATTCCCATTTTCTACAGATTTTTATGAGCCCAGATAATGCAGCAATGTAGTCAATTTTTAAATATTAAAATATTAGACCACAAACACGCTTCAATTTCTCTAAGTAGTGGCTTTTTTCCATAATGACGTTTCGTGGCGTTTTTCAAAATAAGCATAGAGATAAGATTTACTTAAATACTGTGACTATACATGACTGTGAATACATGACTATACATGACTGTAAATACATGACTATACAGGATTGTTATAGTCATGAGTGACTTTTACAAACTCACATCAATGATGAAAATAATTTATTATTTACAAAAAACATCATTTCATACTGCTACAGAGCCTTTGATAAACAGACTTAAGTTTTATGCGCAAAATGTACAATTTTGTACTTATACATACGCATGTGACACGGCTGGCTATACGTATAAAAGATTTTTTTTAACGCTGAGTCTACAACTACTACAATTTAAGCAATCAGAATATAAAAATTTCAATTTTAATGCTGAATCGAATATCAACAAGGACATGAAATTTAAAGGTTAAAGGTGTTTTTGTAGAAAAGTACAATTTAGTACTTGTTCCTATTTACACATCTTACAAGTTATCGATGCAAGCAATTTGTGTATTAGTGAACACATTAGTCAGTGTAACATACCATTCAAAAGATACAAAAGATGAATCTGTATATAAAGGAAACTGTTTTTGGATTTATTTTGAATTTAAAAAAAAACTTTGAACTTCTAAGTTATTTACCCCATAAACTTAGGTTTTGTCTTCAATTTCGTCTTTTGACTCGCCAACTTGATATCGTTTTCAGATGCGTCAATAAATAAAAGTCGAAACTAGCATATTTGTGTAGACAAAAATCCTTGCAACTTCTGAGCTATGAATCCTATTGACTCGTGTTCGATTTCATTAGATTTAGCTTACAATAACATATAAACAATAATACCTCCCTTAGAGAGAAATGTCATATGAGTAAATAAGTACAGGTACAAAATTGTACTTCTTGTATATAAAGCGCTTATAACTTCAAAATTAACTCGATCATCTCGTGAATGATTTCATTCGATCCAGTCCAAAAACCACATTAAATACAATGCTCATTATGGATAAAAAGTATTATGTATTTTTCTCTCATCATTCCTTCAACTTTGTCAAAAGCTAACACGTAAAGTCAAGAAACTTTTTACCACTTACTAAGAGGAGAGTACTTAACAGTTTGCAACAAGTTAAAAATTTTATGAGGTGAACGTATTAAACCCTATTTTTATAATACTATTATGATCGTAAAAAGTGAAGAACATAAAAATACATTTGATAATATGATATATATGTAACTTACTGTAATGTATAATGACTATTAGACTACTTTATGTATTACTTAAATTTACTTACATGTGTAAGCATACAAAAATGACTTACTTCAAATCAATCTTTGAGAGCAAGTTCGGAAACATGCTTCTCTTCAACTTCGATATATTGTTGTCACTTAATTGTAAATTTTTAAGATTAACAAATTCGGAAAATGCTTGATCACTTATGTATGAAATGCTGTTGTATTTTATAGTTAACTCCTTTAAATTAAACGAATGGGGGAATTTCGCATCAATATCAATGTACTTTAAGCCAATATCTATCAGCACAATTTCTTGCAGCTGCGTCACGTTTCGTAGTTGGTTCCAATCGAAATCCCCAAACAGGACACAATGCCGCATTTCGAGCTTCCAGATTTCTGCCCCTACAAAAGCGGTGTCTGTATCACTCAGAGACATTAAAGTAGTGTTTCTTATATCTATGCTGTAGATATTGTCATGACCTTTCAACAAATCATGAGGAATGTACGAAAAGTGAGACATTACTATTTGAAACAATTTGACATCCTCAGTTTTAGAACAAATTTCACTTCTTAATAATTTGTGATAAGTTTTTCTAAGATTGTCGGGATTATCTATTCCAGAACATTCTACTATGTAGCTATATTTTATGCAGATTGGAGAATCTTCTTGCAGTTGGTAACATTCCGAAAGAAAACATAGGGCTGAAACGACCACGTAAAAAACGAGCATGTCTGATTCGTATGTTGAAAAGTTTGCAGAATTTTAAATGTAGATATAAATCACTGCTTTTATCTTATTTTTAGGAACACTTAAAAGCAGCTGTTAGAATGATTTTTCTTATCGTAAAAGATTATTGTTACTTCGTTTGTTATCTATTTTTTTTCTTCCTTATTTCAAAAGTTGCGTTTCTCACTTTACCTTTGTTGCAAATATAAATAGTAAATAATGCACCTGTATGTATATATATATATATATATATATATATATATATATATATANTCATGATTATGCCAAGTTCTTGAAAATGTCAGAAAAATAATACTTTAAATAATAGTACTTTAAATGATAGAAAAAATAATTTTTATTGCTGCACAAATCCTAATTATGACTTTTTTTGGCAGGTGATTAAAAATATCTTTTGAGTGCTTGTAAAGTACTTAAAAGGTGCTTATTTTTTGTTGAAAGATTTGGCTACGCACCCTGTACAGGACGTAGCAAAAATTATGTATAAATTAAACTATTTAATATACTGTTTTTTATATATATATATATATAGATAGATATAGATATAGATATGGCAAAAGGAATTATTTTAAATATTTATATTTATATTAAAATAAATGTTCTTAAAAATATTTAAGAAAATAATTATTTAAAAAAATATTGGAGTGGATAAAATTCCGGTTGTTTAACTGTATTAAGCGAAAGCTAATTAATATTCCTTGCAGTTAAAGTTTAAATACCGACTGTCATTTGTATATTTCCCTGTTTCGGTTAAATAACAATTAAATAAATTGCAATTTAACAATTTTTTCTGAGAAACTTCAAGCAGTGAAATTTTACGCAAGAAAATTTTCAAAGAAAATGAAAAAATACAAAATAAAAAATGGGAGAAAAATCGCTGAAATATTGGAGTTTCATTCCTCAAAGAATTGTAAAAGAATTCCTAGTTAGTAATATACAGAAAGAAGTACGGCACAGAAGCAAAGTTTATAAGGATACATAAGAATATGGTAAATGGTAGTAAAAATGAAACAATTTATTTATTAATTCAAAAATTTCATTAGCTTAATTTGTTAACATCATGGTAATTTTATTAGCATGATGTTTTAGAATTCCATTCCCGAATTTGACACCATACTTCTTTTCCCCTCGGATATTTTGTTTCCTATTAACCAAATGGTCCACGGATGAATAAATGATGCAGATGCTTCATCTCTTATGAAAATTATTTTTATTGAGATATAATGACATCGAATTAAAAACAGCATTCACATCCATTTCAATGTACTTCAACCAATGTTTTTCGAGTAAAAATATGTTAATGCAATAAATTTTGCAGTTCATACTAGTCAAAATCCCTGAAAAAGAAAAAATTAGTCATTCGAAATACGTCATAACTTCAAAAGCCCTGCCGCTATCACTAAGTTCTTTGTCTTATTTTTAATTCATTTGTTTTCCCGTGATCTTAGAAAAATTCATGAGAAATGAACGAAAAATCAGAATGAATGATAATCCCAGGAGTAATTTCAAGCGAGATACCTTTATTAAACTTTTAAAAAGCTTTTTTCATTTCTATTTTATTCTATAACCGTCGTTGAACAGTCGTCTACCTAACAGTCGAATATGATCCGTCCACCTCTGAGGATATTTTACGTCAGCATTGCGATCGGTGCAAGCCGGATCTGGAATTCGTATCTACCAGCCATTGCTGGGATACAAGACAGGTTCATCTCATTGTAAAGGCTTGGTTTCTTAGGAAAAGTCGGCGTCAGCTTCAAACGAACGTTTACCTCTGATTGGTCAATATATGAGTTTCACAGCATACGTCATCGAACGCTCAGCTTGAACGACAACTGCCGTCCAAATCAACTGCAGTTGGATTACAACGTGAAGTTAACAACAGAAGCAATGGCGAACAACAGCCAACAACAGAGCATTTAAATCAGCCAAGATTTTAATTTTGACATTAAACATAGCTTCTTTTCCCTCTTCTTCATTTAGCTAAGCTATAATGTGCTTTTTCTTGAACAAAGTCATTATTTGTTCTTTAAAGCACTGGTCGACAATCACAAAATCAATACAAATTCAAAATAAATATTTGCTTACGTTATTAACGCATGCGCAATTTGAGATAATGTCTGTGTTGGACCGACTGCTCACGCTGAGCTAACAAAACGGTATTTTTATGGAGTCAAAATTATATCAACTTAACACTGACGCCCAGTTAAGACGCTTCTCCTAAGAAACCAGACCTTGAGCTAGGAAACCAGTATTTTGTCGGCGTGAGTGGTACGTCAACGTCCCGCTGACGCCCAGATAAGGCGTTTGTCCTAAGAAACCAGGCCTTAAGGCGAATGTTCTATTCCCTGAGTCATCACGGTTCTGCGATCATTCTGTTTTATTTTATAACCGTCGTTGAACAGCCGACCCAATTTTATTGGTTTACGACTACTAATGTTCGTAGCCTCGTCATTTTGAATCCAATCCAGAAGCAAGGGAATTCCTGGATCAAGTATAGGGAAAATATTGCCTTCGCGGAGGACTTTTCAAGGGAACTAACCCGCATTTGCCTTACAGGGAGAGGAAAACCATGAAAACCTCCTACGCTTAGCCTGACGACAAGGGGACTCTAACCCATGATCCGTCAACCACTAAGGATATTTTACGTCAGATAAAGGATATTTTACGTGGTCGGTGCATGCCGGATGTGGAATTTGTATCGACCAATCATTGCTGGGCTTTAAACCCGATTCACGTCATTGGAAGGCAAACGCTCTATCCCCTAAGCCCCTAGCATTCTATTGAGACGGCCTGTTTTAAGACTGGGATAGCCTGATTGGTTGGACTTTGATGAGTTTGGATTTATGAATCCCACTGGTCGAGCAATCTCCGTGTTTGAAATGGTGACTGGTGCACGTTAAATCCGTCGGAGTCACAAAATCATTTAAGTTCCCTTAAGAAATCAGTATCTCTGGGGGTACTGATTCGGGTTCTGACAAGATGGAGGAGTTGTTTCCATTTCAGAAAACTCTGCGAGGAAACATGAAAACGAAATAATAATGAAGGAAAGAGACATGACTGATTCAGAACTTGAAAGTCTATGTGATAAATTAAAGTACCAACATAATATCGTCCTAATCTCGATTTTAAGAGCATGCGACAACAACAACTGCGATTACGGAGTTCAAATATTTGACAAGGAAGATCTGTTTACTAAAATTAAACCTTTTTTTCAAAAAAAAATATTTCTTAAAATTATACACTGGATCATAACCGTATTAAATAATGCGGATCATAACGTATTAAATAATGCGGATCATAACTGGATCATAATGCGTATTAAAATAAAATCAAAAAGTTTTTGAAAATAGTAATATTTCCCCCGAGTTAAAAAATTTATGAATACCTTGAAAATTATAGAAATAAAAAACGTTTTGCCATCAAAATTCAAAAATGAAAGAATAAATGTAAAGGGAAAAAAATAAATATTAACAGTACTAATTAATTTCGGTTTTGTCTACGCATAGCCGGTATAAAATCCTTTAAAATTGTCATTGCTGATTGAATTGGGCTTTTAAAAAAATTGAAACTTAGTGTTTCAATAGACAAAGGTAAATTCTCAGAATGATTTTAATCGGGAAATATAGTCTAAAAAGAAGACATTTGCATGGTACTCTTATTTAAGAAAAAAATTTCATAAAAAGAATGTAGGGGAGAGTTGGATAAAACGGGATACCATTATTGTTTTTATTTACTACGGAATATCTGTTTAGGAAAACAATACATTATTTTTTTTTGTAGCTACAACATTTATTGAAGCACACAAAAAAACATATTTTCAACTAATTTTAATGACAGCGAAATAGAAAAAAAAATTCATTTCCAAACTCCTACATATCCCGTTCTAGCATACCTGGGTTGGATAAAACGGGATAGGGTTTACAATGTTTAATTTTTTGCATATATATAAANAAGAAATCAGTATCTCTGGGGGTACTGATTCGGGTTCTGACAAGATGGAGGAGTTGTTTCCATTTCAGAAAACTCTGCGAGGAAACATGAAAACGAAATAATAATGAAGGAAAGAGACATGACTGATTCAGAACTTGAAAGTCTATGTGATAAATTAAAGTACCAACATAATATCGTCCTAATCTCGATTTTAAGAGCATGCGACAACAACAACTGCGATTACGGAGTTCAAATATTTGACAAGGAAGATCTGTTTACTAAAATTAAACCTTTTTTTCAAAAAAAAATATTTCTTAAAATTATACACTGGATCATAACCGTATTAAATAATGCGGATCATAACGTATTAAATAATGCGGATCATAACTGGATCATAATGCGTATTAAAATAAAATCAAAAAGTTTTTGAAAATAGTAATATTTCCCCCGAGTTAAAAAATTTATGAATACCTTGAAAATTATAGAAATAAAAAACGTTTTGCCATCAAAATTCAAAAATGAAAGAATAAATGTAAAGGGAAAAAAATAAATATTAACAGTACTAATTAATTTCGGTTTTGTCTACGCATAGCCGGTATAAAATCCTTTAAAATTGTCATTGCTGATTGAATTGGGCTTTTAAAAAAATTGAAACTTAGTGTTTCAATAGACAAAGGTAAATTCTCAGAATGATTTTAATCGGGAAATATAGTCTAAAAAGAAGACATTTGCATGGTACTCTTATTTAAGAAAAAAAATGCATAAAAAGAATGTATTTGTCTGATGGCTCCATTGTGTGAACTGTGGTGTAAACTCCTAAGATAAGAAAGTCTAAAAATTGTGTGTAATTTTAAATAAAGGTTTACATATTCCGACCCCTTCCCCAAGTACAGGGTACACGGAGGAAATTCGTCCCATGACAGCCCCCTCTCTTCTCAGAAGAGGGTGCGCAAGTTCGCACCAGCAGTGCAGGCCGAGAGACCCGGCGAAGCCTTGCCCCGTGGCACTTATTGAATTAAAAATATCATGAATTTACAAAACATGCTGATGGCAGCAGCAAAAAGGTAAATAATGAAATAACAATGTAATATTTTTCGCATATTAGTATATGTTTTTGGCAAT